GTGAAGACCACACATTTTTTTCTTTTAGCTAAAAACTCCCATGAAAACACAGGGAACACATCAGCAGCCCATTATAGTCCACCTCTCAATACTTTTTGACTTCCTGAGTTGTTGTGTTAGTTGTTATGTTTGTATGTATGTTACATTTTGAATGTTAAAAATGAGTTACAAATTTATAGTTTCATATTTCAAAAAGGCTTGAGTTATTTCCTGTAACAGCATTTGTCATTACTACTGTGTTTGAAAGAGTTTTGGGCACAGAGGAATAGCCTACATCAGGATTTGGATGCCAGCAAGATCAACAAAACCGTTAGTTTTGGTCTTTTAATGGGATTTTGTTGACAATAAGAAAAATATAGTTTAACTAGACTTAAACTTTAAATTCCATTTACCTTCATCAAATTGGGTTATGGTTTATATGTTTTTGTAAATGTAGGTGAACCGGACCTTTTCAGGTCACAGTTTTCAGATTGAAGCAGGTGTGTGACAATAGCAGGGTCAGTGGATGAAATGTCACACTTGTTTAGTTGCACATATTGTGAATTTCTTTTGTAGAGATGATCCATTTATTTTCTAAATATAGACTTTCTTTCTGTGATCCAGGCTTTCAATTTCACCAATAGTGTTTTCAATTTCAAGACCATGAAAAAAAAATAAAAATAAAATAAAACCATCCAGGCTCTTCCCTGTCCTGGGGCTTGTCAACTTGTCAGTACGTTCCATACATGAAGAAATGACTTGCACTACTAGCCAGCACACACACAGAGACCTCTCCTCAGCAGCCTCTAACATCCCACCCTTCGGCGAATTCCTGACTCCAGAGCCTGATACGCACAAGAACAGACAGCTACAAATCACTGCGCCATCTATGAGTTATCTCTGTCAATTACTGACGATAAATGGCTTTGGCGCTGTGAAGGCCAGGTGCATCAATCCAGCGTGTCTCACGTTGTCCTAGCTTCTCCACTCTATTGATTCTACTTCTGCTGCTTCCATGAGCCAGTTTTGATGGCCCCTGACCGCAAAAGCTAACTTGAGCACTGATGTCAGATGAAAGGGTGGATATGTAACCCAAACTCCCACCCTGGGACATGTTCACATTCTTGATATCAGATCTTCCTCCCTACCCAACTGAGACTTAATATAGATCCACTGGAGTCATCCCACTACAACTACCCTGTGCTCGTACCAGATTTCAATCAAGGTTTGAATGCAATGCAATACCTTTTGTGGGGGGAAAAAACTCCCACTTTAATAACATTCTTTGACCTTAAAGTGCTTTCAATGCACATCTTCATATAGAAGATATCCGGCACATAACTATATAAATTTATTCATTCTCCATACCTCTTTTGTCAGCTTTTTTCTCCCCAGCAGAGCTAAATGTGCTAATTCTACCCATCTCGCCTCCATAAAATGGCTTCCAAATGTATGTATCTGTCTGCCTGTGGCGTAACAGAATGACCATTCAGAGAGCTGGGGATGGGGTCTGTTGTGAGCGGCTTGTGCCCTGTACAGCAGCTGTCTGCTGAGGGCTGTGATGGCTGCTGTCTGCAGGATCGCCCACCACTGCTTTGAGTGATTCTCTCTCTTTCACTCTGCCTGGGGCGCTCCGTGTGTTGGAGGCATTGATCGGCCCTGAATTGGATTGCGGCGGGCCTGATTACTGATGTCAGTGTGTGCCGGGTCACGTGGGACCGCTGGAGCTCCTCGTGCCAAGCCCGGGCCAGCTCGCAGCAGAAGAGGGGATGGATGGGAGGAGGGGATTGGCGGTGGGTGGGGGGGGGGGGGGGGGGGGGGTTTGGGTTCTCTCGCTGGAATTACATTTATCAGCCTTAGTTACACAGAGCGTGAACACAACATGCCCACACATACTGTGCACTTAAGTGACGCACAAACAAAGTGCCGGCATAATCTCATTCTATTCCTGTGGCTGTAAAACAGTCAGTGTTCGTGATTGGCATTAAAAAAAAAAGAGTGAGTGTGAGTGTGGGGGCATTTTAGACTATGAAAGGGCTTTAGCACATCATACCAGCAAATTACCACTTTCCATACTGTAGTTTTATATTTAAAGTGTTTGTTTAGAGAGTTAGTGAGGGCGACTGATTGAATGTTTGGTCACTGCTTCGTATTTATTTATTTTTTTGCCATGTGACATGTGTGAAACGAAGCTTCTGTAGTGCAAGGTTACACTCTATGACTTTATGTGTGTGTGTTTTGGTGTCTGTTCGCATTCACGTGTGTGTAAGTTTGGAAGTGATTCTCCGCGCATCATTTGTTTACGCCTGGAATAGTGGCCATCATCTTTTCCACTAAGAGAACAATAGCCATTTTTCCCCTTTGCTCGGGAGACAATGAAGTGCCTTCCCGCCTCGCGAGCGACAGGCCAATAAAAAACGTAATTGGATCTGTCAATCAAACATTGCTGCAGCGTGGGGGGGTGGGCAGGCAGGTGGGTGGCGGTGGCGAAGGCGGGAGGGTAGCCGGACAACAGGAGTAGTGCAGAGGAAGGAGGAAAGAGAGAGAGGGAGGAGGTCTGGTGTTTTGCGGAGCACTACCACACACAGTTCCCTCTCTGCACACTGCCCGGAGGCGCTCGGCAACGGTTACAGAGGTGTACAATTGCTGTGTTTTGTTGTTTGTTTGTACCAGGGCCAGGGGGGTGACGATCTGTCTTTGTTTGTAGGTATTAGTGGGTCGGTGATGTGGCTTTGATGCGACTACACAGGAGAGCCAGGGCTGCCAGAGCCTCTGAAGGTCACAGTGGATGTACTAGTGCTGATGTGTCTGTCTGTGCTTTGTATGCGCTCAGGCCATCAGACATGTTGTTTTTTCGTACCAGGGAAAGGTCCTGTCATTAGTCAGGAGGGCCAGGATGCTTTAGTAGTATTTTTCACGGTACAACACACACACTGAACGTCACCTTGTCACATTAAATCATCAACATATCCGTGTGTGTGCTTACTTTGGCCTGTCTAGGTGCATGGATTATGTGTATCTGCTGCCAGATGAGCAGCATGCATGTCTGTACACTTGTGCGCGTGCACTTTTATTGTATGCATTTGTCTGTTGCTCTGAGTTTTAATGACAACTACTTAAATTAAGAGCCCATTTACAGCGTCTCTGACAGAGACATAAAGTGCACATTCAGATATTCTGCTTGTCTGACTCCCACTCTGCGCCCTACCTGGGCTTTTAGGAGATGGCTTTCTCGTGTCTTTGGTGACATTCTTTTTCCATTATTAGCCGAGCTGGAGATTGTTACAAAGGAGAAGCGCTCTGTCATTCCTTGCATTGTGGTCCGCACACACTGTAATGTTGTGCTGTATGTCTTTTGCTAAGCAGACAAAGGATGTTTGAACTCTAAGTAGGAGTGAGGCATTGAATAAAGTGCAGGTCCTCTTGACTTGCCTTGGCAGTTAAAAGGACTTATCGCGGAAACTACAGTCTGCACAGTCCCTGCAGGGTTTCACATTGTACTGCATACTTTGGGAAATGTTCTACTTCCTTAAAAACTCAAGGAAACATTACTTGTGGTGGACGAACTGTACCTTAAATCAAGACAAGAATATCCTCCTGCCCCACTGCACTTAAAAAAAATGCGTAGCAACAAAAAACAGGATCCTGATTTAGAGGACTGAAAAGAGTTTTCGAGGTGCTCCACTTAAAAGGTAGAAATGTAGGAACAAACTTGATTTTTGTTCCTTATTGATGTCATGTGTTTTTTTTTATCTTTCTTATAAATACAGACTAAACAAATTCAGCAAAATGTGTTGCTAAAACAAAGTCTGAGAACATGCTGGCACCAATAAAATGACACATTTCATTTATTACTATGCACTCCAGCTTGCTATAATAATCTGTTGGTACTATTTTAATACATTCTTCAACTTGGAGTATATTGGAGGATGTAAAAGCCTGGGAGACTGTGTTAAGTATAGGTTGGCCTTATTAAGTGCTCTTCTTCAGTATGAAGAGCCTGTAACATTAAATAGAGGTCAGCAGGTTTAAGTGTTGTGTCGTTTAAGGTTGCGGCAATCTTGCTTTCGTGCTGACGAGCGCCGTTAAATTCAGCCTGACATTATCCAGGTCTGCACTGTTTCAGTCAGCCGTGTAGGGCCGCTGTCTCAGCTGATCAATTAACAATATGTGTGTGCCCCCCGTGCGAGCCTCCCTAATTTTGGTTTTGTTATGAGAAACAGTCCCTCTTCTCCAGGCTTCTAAAGTAGGTAATTACACTGAGAGACTCCCTGTGGGGGATTAAAACAAATGACACAGAAAAAACACCTCTTCCCCATCGCCACTCTCTCAGGCCCTGCCTCCGCTCTGAAACCTTTTGCTTGTAACGCCTACATGCCCACGAATACGCACGCAGTCACAATAAAATACACTGTGGCGCTCGTGAAAATTAGTGGGTTCGAGCGGAGAGGAGTCGGGGGAATGATGGGGTGGCATCACAATTTACGGTCATGGTATAACTGGTTAAGCGTTAGGAGCTAAACAAAACATATGGTATTCATATAGTTTGTAAGGACCGCGGCGGAAAAGGCATCTGTCCTGCCAGTTTCGCAGTGACAGGCTGCAGGGAGCATTACTCATCATTACAATCTCTGCTGGCAGCTTATTTTCATCACATTACAGTGGTATAATGAAGCGTAACGCGCAAGCGTCCTCAGGTTCTCTGAGTAGTTCACCATTAGCACCAGCCGAGGGCATTCATCCAAGTAGCTTTATTGAACTTTTTTACAGTTAGTTTATTGTATAATTAATTCATTACTGAACAACAATGCATGTAGGTGGAATTTTGGTACAGTAGCAGTTCAAATTTTAAAATCTGTGATAAAAGCTGTGACAGTCGTGACAGATTTGTCGTGACTTCCAGAGAAGGCGCACGCACTGCTTTTGATGTCAATTACCAGTTCTGTTAAAATGTATCGAAAGATTTGCTGAAATCAGACCATCAACTCTCTCTGCTCTTCTTCTCTTTGTGTCTTTTCCAGGAGCAAGGCAAAGTGGGCGTGACTTTCAACATTGGGACGGTGGACATCAGTGTGAAGGAGACAACAACAGCGGTAAACGATGGCAAATACCACTTGGTCCGATTCACCAGGAACGGGGGCAACGCCACCTTGCAGGTGGACAACTGGCCAGTCAATGAGCACTTTCCCACAGGTACCGCCTCTCTCAATGCTTTGTCTGATGAAATTATGAAAAAATTAGAATGAAATTATAGTCTTAAAACCACTGGACACCACCTATATTTGTTAAAGCAAGGGGCGCCACCGACAAGCAAAAACAACTAATACAGACAGTTTAACTTTGTCCTGTTGCTCTTAGTAAAACATCTCTGAGGACAAGGTAGCGTGCAGTCACATTAGTGGCACACACTATGCTCCTGTGGCAACCCATTCCTCAAAAAGAAACTTCTTTTATGCCCTCACACCCGACTCCACAGGAGAGGAGCACACCAAGCTCAAATCTTTTGTCTTGCAAGAGGCATTAACTGTGCAACATCTGGCCGGTTCATTTCAGGAAAGGGATTTTAAGGGACCAAGCGGCATTTGGTCGGTGGGCAAGCAAGGAGAGGATAGAGGCAAAAAACCAAGGGTGGCCTGTTGGCCAGATAAAGCTGCTGCCTGCCTGTATCTCTCATTCCCAGGTCAGCAGAAGCAGCACAGCAGCAGAATACAAATGGGGTCATCAAACAGAGCCCGCTCCATTTGGGAGCTCAGGCACTCCCTTTGTTTGGAACAGAGATGTGCCGCTCAGCTTGCTAGGTGAGAGAGTGAGAGAAAGAGTCAGAGAGAGAGACAGAGAGGTGAAGGAAGGAAGGAAGGAAAAAATCCTCTCCTGCTTGTATTTAACAGTCCATTAAATTGAGTTGCCTCTCCTGCTCTCTGATATCTGTGTCTTCTTGAAAGCCATCTTAGGAGAAGCCACCTTTGTTTCCTTGTTTGTTATTACCCACTCTTCAATTTCACTTAGTCAAACACAGAAGATGCGGGGGGGGGGCAACATGGGCACAAAGTGGCAGTTGAGGCAAAGAGAAGTTGGGATGACAAAAGATAATATGAAACTTCATTGATCTCTGAGGTACAATTGAGCCATAGCAGCACGACACAATTGGACAGAAACAGGTGTCGAATAAATGGATAATGCTGAAGATTGAATGGTGTTCTGCTTCCAGATGTGGCGCTAACGTGAACAGAAATACAACTGTGCATCACTAGCTAAAATGAAACACCTGATAAAGAAACAAGAGAAACTTTCTTCAAAAATGCTGATGCTGCCCAGTGGTGAGGAGCAAACAAATAGGAGTTGATCCCTTTCACATCTCAGCCCTATGTCTCAGCAGCCCTACAGCTCCTAGTTGCATGCCTTCACCGAGGACAGGGCAGCATTCTCTCCTGGCGTGACCTGGCATGCTGTTTTGGTTTGGTTCAGTGCCAGCGCAGGTGATGTTAATCTCTTCTGTCTCTGGCTTTCTTTTGCCGTTGGCTGTCTTTCGCTTTTCTTTGACCAGATAAAGTCGGACGGGTTTCATAACTGCGTTATAGCCACAGTAATGCTGGAAAATACTGAGAAAGTCCATAACATGTGGCACGCACATGTACACGGATGACGTACACATTCGCACTCACAAGCACTCACTAATCAGACAAATGTGACTGCATAGTTGCACAGAGATAGATTTGTCATTCTCCTTTAGATCTCGGCCCCCGCACTACACAGTAATTCAGCTGTTCTCCATCTTTAATGGCCAGTCATTTCAGATTGCAAATTGAACCCCTACCGCTGTCATAATTATCTCAAAGTGTCTCCTGCATCAGCATCGAATGGTTTTGTTTTGTTTTCTCAACCTTCTATCAATGTGCCTGTCAATATCTTTAATCCAAAGCCTGCGTCCTTTCAGAAATCGCTGCTAAACGGCCGTTCAGTTTGCATCTCGGTTCAAGCAATGCATAACAGAGAAAATGCTTCATTTTGAGATCTGGATTCCTTCAAAGTGATCCCATTGAGGTTTGTTCCCTTTTCTGTCTGCCTGCCACCGTCTTGGAGAGAAGTTGAGGTCGGGGAGATCGAATGCATGGTAATTTCTTTTTCTCTTCTGCTCAGGTAATTTGCAGGACACTCAGTGATAGTAATTCAACAATGATTGATTTTCTTTTTTTTTTCGCCCTCCCTCCCTTGTAAAGGCGTTGTCATCTCATGAGTAATTACATGTCAGGGTGCAGACTCATCGACTGCTTTCTCACACTCCTAACACTTAACTTGAAGGCAGCAGCCACCACAAGGATCTCAGGTCGTTCAATAAACAGTTACCGGATCTGGGCATGCCCTCTCTCCCTGGTGGGGAATAGGTGAGGACAAAGGTGTTGGTGGATTGCTTGTCAGTCAAAGCTGTTTGCTAAATAGCTTGGGGTGTGTAAATTGGACATCTTAGCAGTTGTGTGTGTAAAGTTGGCCCACAAAAGTATAGAGGTGTTGGGATTTGCTTTGAATGGCAGCACCATGACCTCCTTTTCATTATAACTTTTTTGGGCAGAATCACACACATTTCCATTTTTATTGCTTGTCCATAAATTACTTCTTAAAGGATAAATCAAATTTATTAGAACTTGGGCCTAAGCTTCATAACAGTCATAATAATTTGCTTGGCAAGTACATTGCAGACATCTAGGAATGTTCATGAAAGGGCAACCTCTGCGGCTGAAAAATGAAGCCAACACAGAAGTGACATAAACTGCAGTTCCTCGAATGGCCACTTAAGGCAAAAGGTCAGTCCCCAAAGACTGGGAGTCAGGCACTGCCAAGATGTCGACGGTAGGTTAGCCCACTCTAAGCTTAAAAGCGCTCTTCAGAAACCTACGGGTAACGTCACAGAGGCTACGTCCATCTTTATATTGGTGAGACGAGCCACACGAGGAGTCAGACGATCGTACACGTTTAAAACAAACTTCCAGGTTAGCTACAATTATTTCAGGTCAACAGTAAAGTAACTGCCTATTTAAACGGTGTTGTAATTTTCTGAAAAATGTTTACTTCACCTTTAACATACTGTACTTCCTGTAGTTGTCCTTCTGCAATAAGAAATTATTACTGACATTTCAAGTGTGCTGACTTTCAATATTATCTTCAAATGATGTGAATGTGTGTGAATAATCTACCTAAACCCTGTTTGTGTTTTTTTCCATATTCTATTTTATTTTTTAGAGTTTTTAATTTAAAAAAATTCAAAATAAAAGAACAAGAGAAAAGGAAATTAAAATAGACGTAACAAAAACGCTGCCCGGCAATTTGAAGGATAACATGACTAAGTTGTTGTTGGCAAGATGTTATTGCAGTGCTTACTGTGTATCTCAGGAGCAAGGGCAGGTGACAGGGACAAGTATGAATACGGCATAATACAAAGTTCCCATGTTCTCTCAAATCTATTCTCTGTTTTGGAGTTGAGAAGACATCGTCTTCCAGTTTGTGCAATAAGTAACATCTCCTTGAGCCAGTGTGCAAGTGCAAGCAGTGTTGAGTGGGCGACATCCAGGTCAGAATGCAGCAACTATTACTAGGTTCAGGGCAATCTGCATATAATACGAAAATTATATTCTGGGTCGTAGTTAGGCGGGATGTCTCTGGAGCAGGCAGCTGAGAACCTTTTAAAAAATTGCACTTCAAAAAGTGTATGATGTCGGGTAAAACCATTGAAGATGCATCAGCAGCCCTTCAGCAAAGGTGCAATTGTTTCATACTGCTCTGCATGTATCTTATACCTAATACCCAAATTATCTACAACCAGTCACAATATTTAAAATCTAATGCAATTCAACAGTTGAGTCATAAATTCTACCTTTACAAAGATAATAATGTTCAGTTTTGATTGACAATTTCAGAGAGGTATTAATTTAACTAAATGTTCATTATTGAGGTTGTAGTTTGTGAGGTTGATATCTTGTGAGCTGGAGAAAAAGATGATCACCAGAAGTTCAGATGTCTCAGGCAGAAGTGTTTGTTGTAAGCTTAGTGCCAAGGAGAAAAAGATGAGCAGTACTCAGACAACAAGGGACTCAGAATAGTGCCACACCAATATCTGAAGATGGCCAGTCCTATAGGGCGTATATATTCCTAGGTTTCACATGGTTGCAACACTCTTCTGTGCCTTACCCAAATAAGGCTAAAATATAGTCTAAACCTATCTGTGTTAAGACTCTTTTGGTCACATTGTCACACGTTCTTACCTGATTAATATTATTCTGACTTGTCCTTTGCCTACTTCACTCATCCTTGACTGGAACTGGATTTGCATAACTCTCTAAGTTATGCTTTTCCCTGCCTCCTTATCTGTAAGACCTTGGGTACCCTAGCTGTATAATAGAAACTAAACAGTGAACCATTGTCTAACACTGTGAGTTTGTTATTACCTGACCTCTTGGAGTGTTAGTGTTACTAAAAGGAAGAAAATTCCTTCACAGTTTGCGGTGGTGTTGAACTAAGCTGCATTGTAGTGAGAGGTGTTTCTAATGTTTTGCCCACTCCATTTACAAACAGGAGAAGGGGGGGGGGGGGGTTATTAGGAACACTTTTTAATATAATGTAGTTCAGTACAACACCACCACTAACTATGACCTCAGTAATAAACACAGTTAAATAAGCACATATTGGAAAGCTTTATCAAAAACTGGCCATTAGAATCTTTGTAAAGGTACAGTGTAGCAGAGCTGACGTACTGGATTACATTAGTTGTATAGGTGTACCTGATTAAGTGTGCAGGGAGTGTGTAAGACATGTTGAAAGAACAACAGTGAACCTGAGACAGAGCCATATGTTAGTACCTCTGCATTATAGCCCAGGTGTTGACTTTGACAGAACAGAGGTTAAGCTCATTCCGACACTAGCTGCTGAAACATTAAGCTTTATAGTTTGAATTCATTACATAATTGAATGATGCAAACTGTCACAGTTGGCTTGTTTGCAACCTATCTGATCATCTGACTACTTTTGTTCCCCCGCTGGATGATGTTGTAGCAATGTCAATGTTCCCAGATCTCAGCAATTACTTGGAGTTCCCTGTCATCAGGGCTGACAGACTGTTGTAACTACATGAAATTCTGTAAGGGCAACATTGTGATAACCCATAATGATGCTTTTCTTTAAATGTTTTTGCTTTGCTTTTATTG